GTACCGGGCAGGATTGGACTGGACTGAATGAATATACAGCCTGGTCCCGCAGGCCGAACAGGCAAAATAGCCAAATAGCCCTGGCTCTAGGCCAGGGCAGCCAGAGGCACGCTGCACAAGTTCAAGGTCAGGAAAAAGAAAAGTAAGAGTTTTGTGTGTGTATGCGCGTGTGTACATGTGCATGTGTTGGAGGCTTGGCGAATGTGTGCAAATGAGGGCAAAGCAGCCTGGATTCTTGTTTCTCTTTTTGATCGGGTGATTTATTCAGTGCTTGCACTGTTGGAAAAGGCTTGCGCAGCACAAGGGCAAAGTGGGTTAAGGAGAAAACAAGAGGCATTGGAGGAGGAGGAGGAGGAGGAGGAGAAGATGTTTTTTTTTTTTTTGATGCCAAGGATTCTAGATTCATTCTCTAAATCAGTTCCCTGATCCTGATTTTCCTAAATCTGAATAATTCCGATTCAAAGTTTCTGGGTACTTTTCTGATTGATAATTTGAATTTCACAGGTCATAAATTAGAGTAAAAAGTCCATTTTGGACATCTTACTGAGTCCGTTAAGAAAAAAAAAAGTCCAGATCGTAGTAGAGGTTGGATCTTAATAAGTGATTTCTAACACACTATAATCTCGAAATGTTGTGCTTCCTAAACTTTAAATCTGATTGTGTAATTCACATGGGTTCCGGAGCTTCGCAAGTAGTATGTCCGATTGGTAGTCCTTTGAATAAAGTCCGATTTGCAACTCCTATGGAATAAATTCGGCACAATTTTTTTGTGAATGATTGATCTGAGCTGGTTTTTTAGAAGCCTTTTTTTCAAAATCCGTGTCTCATTTTTTGCCATCCTGTATTGTTCGGGTTCATAGGCCGATTGCGATTATTTCCTTTAGGGTTGGAGCCTCCACCCTCCTAGGGTTACACAAGGTGTGAGGTGTTACCCTTGAGAGGGTAGCGGCTGAATGTGAGCGTTTGTCCTTCTCTGGGCCAGGCTGATCTTTGGGTCGGACCAGTCATGGCCCTTGGGGAGAGAGGACGCTAGACTGGTTTGTAGCAGGAGATGCTCCCCACCAACAGACCGGAGCAACCATGGTCGGGCCTGCTAGGGTGAGATGCTTGCACGCTCCCCCTAGTAGGCCGGGGTTGAGTCCTCTAAACCCAAAAAAAAAAAAAAAAAAAAAAAAAAAAAAAAAA